TAAAGCACAGCGATCCTCGTACGGCGGAAGAACAACCGGATCGCTCCATGGTAACAGTCGTAGAGCGTAGCGGACAAAGTTACGTTGAATCTTTTCAATGCGAAAGCAAAGCGTGACGTGATACGGTGCCCATACTAGAACGCCACATTCCAGTATGCTACGCACTAGCGAACAATACAACGTTTTTAGACAGTATAGATCCTCAAATTGCTGCGTGTTGCGCTTGATGAACTCTAGTATCGCATATGCTTTGGCGATGGTTGATGCAATGTGCTCGGTGAATTTCAGCTTACTGTCCAGTATTAATGCAAGATCCTTGATTAATGACACACGGTTGACACTTGAAGCGTTCATCTTATAATCGAAAATGGCAGTTGTCCTAGATCGGTTGAACGAGATGATGTTACATTTACGAATATTCACTTCCATTCCGTTCCGTTCCGCGCAACAATCGACCATGGAGGTTATCAGGCGGAAGAATTTCAGGTCATCAGCGGACATGTACTTCGGTGATCTGATGAGTCCGCACAGATCGTTAACAAACAGCACGAAAAGTAATGGTCCCAAATGACTTCCTTTGGGAACCCCGGAAGTAATTGAAAATGTTTCAGCCCAACGCTCAGACAAGTACGATTCAACCCATTGAGTAAACCACTGAAAGAATCCCATGCGTTTGAGTTTTTCCACTGCCAGTGCATGCGGCACTTTGTCGAATGCTTTAGAAAAGTCGACAAAACATTTGCATCGACCTGTTGTCGCTTTTCAAGGCAAGAAACAGAAACGTAGCACATCAGGTTGGTTGTTGTTGACCGCTTCCTGACAAATCCATGCTGACTCTCTGATATCACATGTTGAACGTTACGATACAAAGAATCATGGACAAGACTTTCCAAGACTTTAGGAAAGCAACTCAAAATCGAAATTGCACGATAATTTTCGACGTCATTAACATTACCACTTTTATGAATGGGAGTGATGGCTGCAGTTTTCCATTTGTTGGGAAATATGCCCTCCGAAAGAGATCTGTTGAAGAGTATACTCACAGGCAAAGCGATTGACTCCGCACACCGATTGATGAAGAAAGGTGACAGACGATCTGGACCTGCTCTTTTCGAAGTGTCGATACAAACCAGCTTAGCAAAAACATCTTGCCGAGAGAAGTTGTAGACGGTTACGTTCAAGTCGTAGTGCGGCAAATTGCTCAAGTACGATTCAGTCAAAGGTGGTCGGTTATTACTTTGCATACTTTGAAAGAACGCCGAGAACAGATTTGCAGATTCTGATGGAAATGTTTGACAAATTAAAGGTCTTTGAAATATTTCTAGATCAATCAGCGATCTGTAGAGAATATTTTGAATCATTATCTGAGTTATTGGACAGTAGAGATATTCAGAATATTGTTTGATCAACATGAAGTTATGCCTACCAGAACATCTTGTCTTTGGGTACGAAAAAGATCTCGTTGGCTTCGTACCACTCCAGGACAACATTTGAATTGTGGCACGAAGCTAGATCCAACCAGAAGATCGTTGGGCCCTCGTGTTGCTTCAACAGAGAAAGCAGACGCTTCTGCAGACACTCCTTGAAGTAGATATCCCCGTTTACAGTCCTGGTAGTCACGAACGGCGTACTCCGTTTGCCACATGAGCTGATTGCTTGCCAATTCATGTATTTCTTTGCAAACTTTGAAAGTTTCTGCTTCCTTACTTCCTCCGGAACATCAAACTTGTGCTGGGCGATGTAGAACAGTAGCCCTAGAAGCAGCCGTAAATCCACCTTGACGTAAGTCTTATCATCCATGATGAGACAAAGAGGTTTCGTCAGCATCTGGGTGTACAGTTTCTGGGTCCGTGACTTTCCCACCGTATTTTGCCGTTCGTCAAGATTTGGAGCCTTCTGCACTTTGTACGTATGCAGTCCTTCTCGGTCTTTGGCTCTCTGAATGAAAGACTTGGACAGATTAAACTTTTTGGCCACATCCCTGACCGAAGCATTGGGATTCTGCTTAAACACTTTCACGACACGTTTGTGATCCTGATCACTAATAGAACATCCATTCTGACCGCATTTCTCCTTCCGTTCGAGGCTCAGAGTTTCGTAGTAACGTTTAATCACACGACTTACCGTTGACTGCACGATTCCAAGTTGTTTTCCGATGTCCCGATGAGAGAGTTGAGGATTTTCCAGGTGCTTGCACAAAATCAATTCGGGACGCTGCTTTTCGGGTGGCGCTATTTTTTCCAACATTCGAAAAACTGACAGTGATAAATATACAGTGTAAACAATACACTATAAACTACTTCTACCCAAATTTTCAAGAGAAAATACCCAATGGGTAATTTTCTACAGCGTTTTTCCGTGATATAATTTGATGTGGAACACACTTTATAATTTGATTTGTTGAACAATTCAAGATCTTCAGAATAAAACACGATCAACAAAAGTATTTACAAAATATCCAAACGACTTTATTTAGGTATTTGATCAACTTAAAGTCTGTGAAAATATTGCTGATTATTCTGCAATCCTGAGAAATTTTCTGAGAAACATGGCTGGAACTATTGGCCAGTTATAGATCGTGAGAATATTGCCAAAATATCCAAAGTTCTTTACGCTGGCCTGTGAAAAACTTTAGGCTTTTGGAATAAAATATAACTATCCTGCTATTTTGAAAAAATATCAATATATGTATTATTCTTTGGTATTTTACCTCTTATGTCATGCTGGTCTATAACAAATTTTGGGATCAGTTCAGAATCAGGTATTCATTAGTTTTTTTTTCTCCTGCTCGGGTGACCATCGGTTTTCGGTAGTGTCAAATACCCTAAGATATGGGTATTTTAGGAACGGGAACAACGCGTAGATGTCAAAAATCGATATCCGACGCTATGTTGGAATCCACGATGGTGGCCATCGGGTTTCGTAAAAAGTATCAAATACCCTAATATCTGGGTATTTTCCGGAACGGGGACGACGCGGAGATGCTGAAAATCGATATTCGATGCCGTTTGCAGGCCATTTGACACTTCTTCTGCAATCGGAAGCCACCATCTTGAGTTTCAAGATGGCGCTGGACGTCGATTTGTGGTTTCTTTATGTCATCCCGATTAAGCAAAAACACATTGATCGATATTTGATAGTATTTCACAGTTTCTCTGAACTAAAGCCGCCATTTTGGATTTAAAGAGGGCGTGACATCAATTTTCGGCATCTACGTCTTATCCCCATTCTGAAAATAACCATACTTTAGGGTATTTGACACTTTCCCGCAAATCGTAAGTCGCAGTCTTGGATTTCAAAATGGCGTCTGATATCGATTTCCGGCTGCTAGATGCCATCCCGATTAAAAAAATACCTATATTGATGGGTATTTGACAATATTTCCCACTGGTTCTGAAATCGAAAGCCGCCATCTTGGATTTCTAGACGTTACCCTGATTAAAAAAAAAAACGGTATGGGTACTTGATAGAATTAACAACTTTTTCTTAAACCGGAGGCCGTCATCATGGATTTCAAAATGGCGTCGGATATCGATTTCCAATCTCTAGACGTCACCCCGGTTCCAAAAATACCCCTATTGAAAGGACGGCATCAGCATTTCCCACTTTTTCTAAAAAAGGAAGCCATAACCTTAGCGGCGCCGGTGTTGTAGAAGTAAGCGTGATTACCTCTCACCCTAGCAGGCCTGGGTTCAATCCCAGTCGCCACCGCCAGGATGTTCTGAGGCATATAATTTATGATCACGCCTTCCTTCGGAAGGGAAGTAAAGCCGTTGGTGTGGGAGCTGCCTCCCTGGCGTCGGTAGCATTGGTGCTCAGCACGGAAAACGAGATCAACGAAAAACAAATCAAGGAAAAAAAAAGCCGCCATCTTGGATTTCAAAATGGCATTGGATATCAATTTCCGGCTTGTAGACGCCATCCCGATTCCAAAAATATTTATATTGATGGCTATTTGACAATATTTCCCACATTTTCTGAAATCGGAAGTCGCCATCTTGGATTTCTAAATGGCGTCGCATATCAATTTTCGATCTGTAGACATCACACCCATTACAAAAATATTAATATTGATGTGTATTTGACTGTATTTCCACTTTTCCTAAGTCGGAGGCCGCCATCGTTGATTTCAAAATGGCGTCGTGTATCGATTTTCATCCTCTAGACATCATTCCAATTCCAGAAATACCTTTATTGATAGGTATTTGACAGTATTTCCCACTTTTTATTAAACTGGAAGCCACCATATTGGATTTCAAAATGGCGTCGCATTTTAATTTTCGATCGCTAGACGTCACCCCGATTAAAAAAAAAAATACCCATATTGATGGGTAAACAAACCACCCGACAATGATAAATTTGACATCCTCGTGCACAGATCTATGCGGATACGCTTAAATTAAGCGAGTGAGTAATCAACAAGAGTCATAAAAACTGCGCGAAATTAGATCTAACAGCTTCGCTTAAATGACAATGAAAGAAGAAAATTTCTTCTTTCATTGTCATTTAATGAACACGAGTCAAGCCAAACCAAACAGCACGAAAACTGATCGAATGTGGTTCTGTTGATATCGACGGGAATCTGCTCGAAGAGAAGACAGAATGACTTTCAATTGGAAGTGATGGTTTACAGCTTCATCGTCACATGACGATTTTCGACTGAAAGTGACTTTGTGGGGGTCCTGGTCAGAGCTCACCATAGCTGGATTAGTTCGATTTTTTTGTCTATTATTTTGAATATGTTTTTTCCATTTCCAGCAACTTTTCAACAATTTGAAGCTTATAGCGTTTTCATAGGCTTATTTAAAAATTCTGGCCAATATAATATAAGGAAGGAGTCGTACTATGAATCACATGTACTACCTTGATACACAAATCTTCTTGTCGATATTGCATCAACTAATCATATGAAACAAATCCGTTGAAATTGTAATGCACTATCATCCCTCCAAATCCAATTAACACAAGCGTTTTCTCCATCCCCTCTTTCTCTCTTACAGATCTGAAAAAGAATTTCATCCTCCACTCGCCAAAACTGCGTGCCGAGACTGGCACAAAGCTGGAAATTAAATGCACTGCCCCGAAGGGCTATCCAAAGCCTCAAATCACGTGGTTGAAAAACAATTTCACCCTTCCCAGCAGTCCACTGCTCACGTTCAACTCCGAGGGAAACATCCTGATAAGCACCGTAAAACTACAGGTGCGGATCCACTGGCTGCTCGTACACACATGCAAGCCATGCCAGCCCTAAAATCCTTTTCCCTCCTCCATCCAGATGTGCTCTTAAAACCTATTAATATTCAATATAACACGCGTCCAATCACCTCTCGCAGTCCCGGTCTATTCCGAAGTGGATAAATTCCCACGTACCCGGGATTCGGTAGACTGGTTCAATGGACTTTTCTAATGCCCACAAGAATTCCACTATTGAACCAGTCTAACCTTCCCTCGACCATACAAACAACCCCCCGTTCCATCGATCCGAAAACCTTTGACCGAAACCATAATAAAACTTTATTTTATTATTTCAATTTCACCATTTTCTGCCCATCTCCGGTTCTCCGTCGGACATCGACAACGACATCAACGACGACGCGGTTGGGGAATTTTATGGCATCCTAAAACAACAACTTTCCGGAATCGGCGGCGTGCAAATCTCTCCCACCGGAACGAAACCCGAACCACTGACAACGGACGACGGATCCCGGCGGTGGACAAACTTGTGAATCCACATTTTCGCTGCGGCCACGGACGACTGTTGGAATGTTGGTTTTTGTCCCAAAACCCCATCTCCCGTGGTTGGCTCTCTTCAGGACATCGGAAACTACACATGTGTCGCGGAGAACATCGCCGGCAAACGGACATCGGAACCGATCGAACTAATCGTTTACGGTAAGCTAAAATCGATAACCCAAAATAAAAATAAAACGAGAGTTTCCCTCTAGTTCGGCCGCGTTGGCAAGTCACATGGATTGTTTGGTTAGGAATCGGGGTGGTCGGAAGGGAAAAGCAAAGTTTTAAGTGCACAGGATTTGATGGCGGAGTAAGTTTTTTGGTCGGGCATCGGTGGAAAGTGAAAATTGAATTCCAATCGGTCAGCAGCAGCGGCGCGGTCGGAGGGGACAATCCGATGTTTTAGTGTTTTATGTCGTCGACTTAGCACGGGACGATTTACATAAACAGTTGACCATGTGATTCGATTCCCATGCGTTGGGATTAGGTTGTAGTGTTTTTTTGTTGTGGGTCTGATTGCTTCTACAATACTCCATGCAAAGAGTTTGTTTGGAAAAAATTCTGTTGTTTCCAAGCAAAAATTCCTAGATTGTACATCTAACGCCTCAATTAAGAAAAGCACTAAATACAGGACAGGCGTAAAACCAAGTTGGGTTAACCATGAAGAAGATGAATAATCTACGTACCATCATCCCCCCCGAGGTATCCAGAAGAAATCGAGTGTGAAAATTATCGATAAGCATAAATTAACCACGGCTTCGCAGACACATGATTCACGACTGGCAAAAGGTCATCTAAAGTTTAACAAATTCATCGACGTGGAAATTATTGCAAACATTTCTCACCTTTCCTGGTGCTCAAGCAGTGGACCTACCCTCGCTGTACATGAACAAGTACAACTAGGTCTAAGCCTACACGACGCGCCGAGCACCAAGTGAAGATGAACACCATACTGCTGCTCATCCTACGGGATTGGTCCCGACCGAAGAGGTTGTTGGCAAAGGCAGAGCAGGGCTTGGCATTTGAAATCAACTGAGCGACGACGACGACGACGACGACCGACCCAGAGAGATGTTCACGTCGATAAATTTCCCATATAACAATGAAATTACATGCGAATCAATGCTGCTGCCTCCCCCTGCACTTCCAGTTGGACTGAAAATACGAATGAATCTTACACACAACTCACATTGCCTTCTCTGTTGGGTGATGATGGGAACGTGCAAAGAGAACGTTTATCAACGGACTACACGTGGTTGTAGAGAGAGGTAGAGCTAGGTTCCTTTTAATATTATCGGCCAGCAATCCTTTCCAGCTTGTTTCCGACGAGGAGAGATACCTTCTAGCGAAACGATACGGTTCCGAGTGAAGGGTGAGTCCAAACTGGACGGGAGATTTATTGCTAGAGGAAATTAATTCTAAACTAAATTCGATTGCATATTCGAGTTAACTAGGGAAATTGGTGTCGCCAGGTGTGAGAGATGGCTATAGGGATGGTCAGGCAGATAAGGGGTGATTCAAATACGGCGTCCACTCTGGAGGGGTGAAGAAGAGTGGGTCCTAGCATTTGTGACAGTACTTGTAATAAGTATTGGAAAATCAATAAATGTGTGGATTTTGAATTTTAATCGTCCCATAGATTCAAACTTTTGAATGGTTGATCAGTGTAGAATCCAAGTTGGGCAATATTTTCGTACGCAACAAATCCTTCAATTAACAATTTTGGTTTTATTCTGGTTTTTTTTTTTGCACATGATTTGTTCTTGAACTTGGGATAATCTAGGACGTTCAAATTATTCTGGAATGTTGATCCTGATCCACAAGTTGTCTTGTTCCACAAGTGTTGTCAATTGCGCAAGTGATCCACAAGTTTGAAGCCTCAAATGTTTTACAATTTTCAATCAGTATTAAAAGGATAATAATAAAGATGAAGAGGAATAAGACAGTTACGATGACTGTTTATTGCAATTTAATAATCAGATCTACTTTGGGAACTCTCACTTGTGCTTTGTAAATTATTCGATATCCGGATACAAGCTGAAAGATTGTATTTTTAATGTTATTATAAAATATGTGAGTTGCTACGTTCTTCGCTGGTCCTTAAAACAAAGTGATCTACAGTGAACTCTTTACAACTCGATATTGAAGGGACCATCGTGTTAATTATCAAGTTTATAGAAAAAAAAAATCCCATAGAAAATCTCCATCGCAGTAGCCATAAAATTAATTTTGACTATGACTCTATAACTAGAAACCACAAATTTTTACTAAAATATACCCATATTTGGGCTATTAATTTACGCATATTCTTAATTTGTCCAGTTTAGTTAAATCTGAAAACATAACCTACATTTGGGTTACCTGTTTTTAGCGTGATCATCATCTTGTTTATGAACATTTGTGTATAGACGGTGAATCTGAACCAAGTAGCCTAGGTTCAGATAAAGCCTACCTAGTCTACCTTAAGAATATTAAAACCTAAAAAAGGTAGGCCTAATAATAAAAAAAACCTAGTCTACATTAAGAATATTTTCTGAAGTTTCTGAATATTTTACTGTTGATAAATCATATGTTCATGATATATAGGGAACATTTTGGACTTGATTGAGTGAGTTCGTCGGAAGTTAGAGCAATTGTAGTGAACACTTTTTATAAGAACACCCTTTTTCAAACCACTACATTTAAAAAAAAATTGAGCCAAATAAGCTAATGATGTATTCTTCGATTCAATATGTTCATTACGAAAAAAGTAGAACAGTCCTGATCACAGGTTGAAACGGTTGACGTTTTTTACTACACTCGCTTCGTTGTCGTGCTCGACAGTCCGTTTGTATTCGTACACTCATGCTCTTGCGTCGTCTCCCTCACATAACACAAACGGTTGAATAAATTCGTGCAAAAAGAAAATTTCCAAATAACGATCATATGTGTGATTTCGTTATAATTCCTCTATTTGGTGTACATTAATCCGTTTCTGATCAGAAATGATATTACTAAGACATCATTGCTTGCTATTTTCAGAATTCAAACAAGCACAACATCAGCAGCTCTTATTATTAGGAAAAAACTAAAATACATACATTCGTGACGGTCTTCGGCGACAGTGTCGTATGACAGAGCCTGTCATATGACATTTTAATTTGGTACTGTACTATGATAGCTTGTTTTTCATGTTTCGGAGGCAAAATCAGTTGATTATCAAAGAATTGTTTTGATTTTAAGATGTAATAGATTCACTTCCTCAACTTTGATGCTTGACGTCTTACATTGGTTGTCGGTGAAGCAAAGCATTGTATATTTGACTATGGTTTTCATTTTTAAAGTAGTTAACGGTTTGCTGCCTCGATATTTGTGTGATCGACTTGAAAGAGGAGGTTACTTTCATAGATATAATACTAGAAACGTGGTTGAAATAAGAACACCACATATAAGAGACGAACCAGCCTAAGGCTGAAAGTCTCTATAACAAAGACAAAAAAAAGTTGTATGGATAGCTGTGATAACGACTTTTCAATAATTATGGTAGCACTGCCACATTATAGAATTTGTTCAAACGGCGAAACATTATTAATTCTATAGATTGTTCACCCAAATATGTTATAAAATCATAAGCTTCCTGGTTTAGTGTAGTTTATTTCAGTGTCAATCTGTTAACCGTGAGCCAGAATAGCAAGCAATCTAGTCTAAATTATCATTTTAAACTCACGTCGCACAGTGGCAGTTGGACAAACCCTAAATTGTTTCACAATCTAGCTGTAACCAACATATTTAGTAAATTTTCGCTGCTGTTCCATTTTTGAAATAGGAAGTCATAAATAATGAGGACTTATCCCGGCGTCTTAGTGCAATACCTGTGTTAAGAGAGGGAGAAGAATTAGTGATTTCCATTTAATTCCACTACCTTATTTGCTAATCCTTGACAGAAACGCGTATTTCGTCTACAATGTGCAGACTTCTTCAGTGTCTTGTACTAATACTCGACTCCTCGATTTATAAGTACAACAGTTTTTTTTCTTCAAAAAATGCCCGTTTTTTTGACAGAAAAAAAATGCTCTCAAGCTCGGCTTAGAAAAATCAGGAGAGTATCATAAGTTAACACTCCGGACACGATGCCTCCGAAAAACATGTAACGGCAAGTTTGCAATGACATAGCTTAGCCTTTTCTTGATGAATTTTAAAAATTGTGGTACCACTCAAATTTCTAGGATCTGTACATAACTTTGATTATAAATAGCTTGAAAATAGGGTCATCTACTTTTTTTTAAAGCGAAAAGAGTCTTTACACGTTTTTTTACAGGTGTGTTTATGGGTTTTGCAAGTGGCTTAAGATATATAATTTTGATTAATGACCACCAATGTTCATAATTAGCCACAAAACAGTCATGGATCGTGGAGATAACGAAACGGCAAATCCGTTAAAGTGGTCAATCCACAATACTGATCCTAAGGCTCCGCGGTTTTTTGCGAGGGGGACGACTCTATCTACGATGCAGGAAATAATGTGTTTTGCTGTGGCTAGCTGTCCGTACGCTGAGTAGATAGAAAGAAGATTTATCACGATTTTGAAGATTTCCTTCAAAAAGATGATTCGCGATGCAAGTACATGCGAGAAATGAAAAAAATATGTTTCGAAGATTTATTCGTTAGTGTCAGATGTTTTGAGCATCTAGAATTGAGATTTAGATGTGTCCCCCCTCGGTTTTTTGACGTAGTATTACAACAACAGCAACATATTGAGAGTGCAATTTCAAAAAATCGCATTACGAAAACTGGTTAGGTTTTGACCACATATAACTCTGTCAATGGCGGATTGATTTTAAGCCAATCGATTACCAAATTTTTCTACAAATCTGTTCAATTGAACACTTGATTGATTATCAATAGGTCACTACTGAAAATTACACAAATGTTCAAGTGCTGCAATAGTGATCAAAATTATCACCGATTGACTGCAAACAGCGCTTTCTTTAACAAAATTTTTTTTAAACTGAATTCCATCCGGTCTCCCTAAACTCTCCCTGGTGGTGCCTGGTTGGTCGTTATCAGCAGCAGCAGCAGCAGTGCTTTCGGTGCCTGGCGTTGAACTTTGTACACAACGAAAGGCTGCCCGCAAGCAGTGATCTGCAGCCCACATGAGCGTTCAGAAGAAGGAGGAAGAA